AGAGATAAGAGAAAGTTAAGGTGTTGTTTTTTTTTTCTTTCCCCAAAATATATATGTATAAACTTATTTGAGTGTTTCAAAATACAGTCCCAACCCATCAAAATCTTTGATAAAGGAGGCTGGTCCCAGGTCCCTTGTAACTGGGCTGTCAAAAAACAGTGAAAATTCTTATATAATAAATAATTAGAAGCAATTTGCCCAACATCACAATGCACAGCTGGAAATAGAATTCTAGTCTTCTATTTAAAAATCCTAAGACAAAGACTAGATTTACAGTGTTCCCTATCTTCTACATTTGGGGATTTCTTTTTTTTTTTTTGGCAGGCTAACAAAGCTTAGCATAGCACTGTGGGCTTATGTGGCCTTCTTTCCCTCTGTAGCATTCTTGGAACAATGTTATAACAGGATGATGCTAAAAGGATTTTTCCAGCACTTTCTGATTCGGAAATTGCTTCTCATACTTCATATACCAGAAGTCTGATCTGTCTCATGTCTGTGCAAGCACGTGCACGGCTACTATCCCTGTTACTAGTATGTTTGAAGTCTGGGCTTATTTCAAAATGTTTAATCCAGTTCCTCATTAAATACTTATCTACAGATTTAGTAGATAATCAGAGAAGAGAATGAATTTGTCAGAAGAAAAACTTTACTGAGTACCCAGTAGCAGCCTTCCAATGTGTAAGAGAAAATTACCAACCAAGAGTCTGATGTCAGGCTCTCTACAGAGGGACAAGGAAGGAGAATGAGAAACAGCAATCTGAAATTGAGAAAGGGAGTTCCATCTAGATAAAAAGAAAATGTATTTCAGTATGATGATATTTAAGCACTGGAGTGGGTTCCCCAGGGAAACTGTGAGGTCTGAGAGGCTGAGACCTAACTGGACAAAGCTGTGGGCAGCCTCGCCTGAATTTGGTGTTGACAAGGGTTTGAGGAGGAGGTTGAAATCGGTGGCCTCCAGAGGTCCATTCCTGCCTGATTGTCTGATTTGATTTGCAGCTAACCCTGGCACTGAATGTGACAACTTTTTAACAGGCAGCATGCAGCAGTACTTAAGAGTTTAGGACAGGAAACAAGATGTAACTCTGATCCTCTCAAGGAAAATTTAGCTAAGTAGAGAAGATGTAGGCAGATTGCCTCCTGTGGCTTAATTCTATGTTTTCGGAATATTTTCCTGTTATTCTCATTAGCCTTTTCCTCAACATTTCTGTGAAGAAATTAACAAAATTATAAAATAATGTTTAGAAAATACAAGTATGAAGCAGAGAGGAAATCTGAGATGTGAGTGAGAGTGCATAATAGGTGGCTATGGGGTTGTTGGTTTTTTTTTTTTTTTAGAAACACCCACAGGTACTGCAGGTTTTCCAGACAGACTAGAAAAATGTTTGTCTGGAGTTATTTCTATTAGGTGATAACAAAGGCTGCTTTTGTTTGAGAGAAATATGTTAAAAAGCTGCTTCTTTTCATTAATTACATTTGGTCAGTAACTCCATAGAGATACTATTGTCAGGGCTGTGGATGCCAACACTTTCTCATAGCAGTTATCCTGAACTGGCACACCTCAGCTCAGTGCATCATTAATCAGCATCAATTATATTCATACTAGATTCCCATCAGTTTCAGGTTGCAGAATACTCTTCCAATGCCTTATTACTTTCTGTTGCCTTTCCTAGTGTGTGCAGCCTTGGTGACATCTATATTTACAACTCATTCTGATTTATTTATAAGAGCAGAATAAGAATCTCCACTGTTAACAATGAAGACATCTCTAAGGTCTGCCTACATATAAACATGTGATGCCTAAAGGTAAGATGATGCTATGGCGTTTTCCATTGAGACATTTCATGGAAAACTGTCAAGCCTCCTCACCTGAGATCTGCTGAGATTTGCCCCTCTTCTCACACTAGAGACTTGAGAAGACTCTTCATCTTTTTTCTCACTGGATTTTAGGAAGAACCCTTCTCCCTGTATTAAGACTCATCCTTTCTGCATCCTCCTCCAAATCAATTAAAAAATATGAATCAAAGGAAAAGACACTTCAGAACACATTTTTACAACAGTAAATGTACATTTGGCAGGACAGAACACTACCCAGAACCTTTTACTTTGGCTTCATGACATCAGAAGCCACCTAGTGACATCTGTGCAAACTGGCACAAAGACTCATTGGGAAGTACTTTTCAGTCTAAAAATTCATCCATTAACCAACATTTTCCCAACTGGGCCCCTTGTGCCAAATCTCTTGGTCATGACTTTCCATGAGTAGAACCAGGGCATTTTGCTTCCATGTAAGAATAAGCCCAAAATTATTTCTGGATACATTTCAGATACAGTGGAACAAAGGTTCACATAGAACTTTTCATCAGACTCATTTACCTTTTGATTCCTCTGAAGCAGAAGATGTGTTGAAGCCCTGTTAATATACAGAATATCAAAAGAAGCATGTCATATTTAAAATTCGGAACTGATGAGTCAGCTCTGTCTTTTGCTTCATATCTCTAAGGTTCATGACTCATTCATGTACTTGAATGATGTCTGTCAGAATGTTTTTAGCTGTTATTTTTTAGTCTTGCACAAAGTAATGTTGAGATTTCATTTGAGACTATTTTGTATGCCTTCTGGTATTTTTCCTCAAACCTTTTTAAGCTCTTGGAGCAATAAGCATGGGATTGTACTAGTATCTTCTGTATTTGAGGAGCATCACAACCAACACACACACCCCTAAAAAAAAAAAAGGCACCAAAAGCAGCCTTCTTTTGGTGTTCAGTGCATTAATTAATTAAGGCTAGTTGCTGGTCCTTTTATTTAAAAGGAGAAAAAGCATCTCCTGTTATGCTAGCCAGAAAGAAAACAAAAAGTGAGTACTTTAGAAAGGTAAGTAGATAAACAGCTAGAATAGAAGGATCTGTTCTCATTTCTGTCCTTTTCCCAGCTTTTATTGATGCTGCCATTGTGCCTCTTCTGAAGCTTCTTGCGCTGCCAGCTAGCACAGCCAGGGTGACAGGTTAGACGGGAGGTTATCCCAGTATGACAGATCTCTCCAAATGTTCCATACTGAATTTACATTCGGATGCTAACAGCAGCCACTTTTTTTAAAGGAAAAAAAAAGTAGGCCACCTGTCCCTCATGCGATTTTGTCAGCTGCTTAGGTTTAAAAATAGTTTCTGCTAAAAAAAAAAAAAAAAAGTCTTCATACTAATAGAATCCTAAATATACAGTAATGAGATAAAAATTATATTGCTTATAAACTTGAATGGGGAGTGGGTAAATCTTACCAGGTTTGGATTGTTCATTCACATTCCAGTCTTTTCCCTCTATTTTTTATCTCCTTTCCCAGCTGAATAAGATAAAATTCTCCTTCATAGAAAAAATCACACACACAGACAAAAAGAGATCATCTAGCAACTCCTATTCAGCTACTGTCAGTCTGTGTTAAAATTTAGGAGTTTTTTGTTCTGCATTTCTGGGTAAAAGTCCTGTAAACTTTTGTGGGAGAGGATACTTGCTAGAAGTCAAGAGGTTTAGCACAACTATTCTGCTTCAGATGGGCCTGCTGCAAAAAAATCCTAAGGCTGAGAAATGAAAAGGAAGCTACACAGGGATGATGATAAGAGAGGAAAACCATTCAGAAGCATGGAGAGACAATAAAGTAGATAAGGCTGAATAGCAAAGAACTGTAATGGGCTAATTCAGCTGTGAGTTGACTTTGTGATGGTTGTTACAGCTACGCAGTCTTCTTTTAATTTTCATGCATTTAATGTCACATGCAGAAATACTTCCAATGTTACAGAAAAGCCTTAATAAGCCTTTTCAGCTGCCTAGCATCATTCTTCTGATCTACTAGGTGTTTTCAGAAATGTTACCTCTTTTCCTAAAGAGGTTGAAAATATTTGCTGTACTTCTGCTCAGTGCAGTTTCCTAGAATCACCTTGAGTTTTGGACTTGCAGATAGAGACAATCAGAATTTATTTTTATTGTTCCCTGATTTCCGATTTCCCCCTACACCCTTTGTCAAGTAAGAAGCTGTGCTCTTAGAATTTATTCTGAAGCCTTGTTTCCTTCAAGAAAAGCATTTCTTCAAATGCTGCTGTTGTGTATAGAAAACTCTGAAGCTGGAGGCAGTGATTTTGGATACATATCTTTTTAGATAGAAAATCAGTTTTTGGCTTCAGTCTTAAGGGAAGCTGGTTTAAAGAATCTGAACCAGTTCTCTCATAGCTTCTGAAGCATGGCTGATTTCATACAGTTTGAATACCAAAAGCATTACCAAAACCAATCAAACAGTCATCCCCTCCGAAACCCACCCCGTAATAGTATCCAAAGGAAAAAAGGATAAATTTGTGATATGGTTTTTCCTGCTTATTTAAGTGAAATATTGAGCAGAAAATGCAAGGTTTGTTTTCAGTTACTGCTTCGTTAAAAAAAAAAAACAAACAACCCACACTGTAGTCTAAATCAGTTTTTCCCATGAGCTTTAGCAGGGAGTATAAATTCTACAGAGTTTCAGCATTTTTTTAACTGAAATTATCCAAGGATGTTCTCAAGAACATGTAAGCCTTTGGAAAAAACAGTTTGGAAAACAGTATCTCTGCTCAGCTTTTGATTATGAAAACAGCTAATACAGCGTTTTGAGGAATGTAAACTGTATGAGGTACTAAGATTAGGCAAATGGGAAACAACAATCACAGCATCTGTAAATCTCGGGAATTAGCAGAGAGTATCTGGAGGAAGCCTCTGCCCTTCAGAGGTGCTTCAAGCAGCCCCAGGCTGGACACTGGGAAGCGCAGCCTCACTGACCAGGCAGCGAGCGGCACCCAACAACAGCCCGCGACCGCGAGGGCTCGCCAGCCCGCCGCACGCCGCCGTTTAGGAGGGAGCCGAGCCACCCGGCAGGGCGCTGGGCCGGGCACGTGCGGGGCGGTCTGTCTGTGTGTCCCGGACAGGCCATTGGCCTGCCGCCGCTTCCCGCCTCCTTTGAAAGCTTGGGAAGGGCGGGCGGCCCCAGCACCTCGGCAGTCGGGCGGCAGGGGCGGGTCGGGACGGGAGCGGAGCGCCGGGCTGGAGCGGGAGGCCGCAGGTAATCCCCGGGGAGCCTGGGGGCGGCTGCGTGCTTCACTCGGAGATGTCCCTCAGGAGGATTGAGGGCGGGTTCGGTTGACTTTCGTGAGCTTCACTGGGGTCTGTTTCCTCACGGGTCTTCTTCCAGACTGGTAGCGTTCATCAGTTTCCTAAGTTTGTACGGTCAGCATAGCAGGGCTTGCTTTGGCAGCTTAGTGCTTTATAATAAGTAGTGTTCTTTGCATATTTATTTGGTTTCAGCTTCAACTGACTTGTTAAGGTAGGCTTGCTAAGTAGCTGAGCTTGTGGTTGTACTAGCAGTGATGATTTACAGATGGGTTTTTTAAGGCACTAACTTCTACAATACATGGTGGTGGATTCTCCATCACTGGGCACTTTTCGAGATGAACACCAGACAGGGTGCTGGTAGGGTGCTAGTCTACATGATGCTTTATCATACTTTGGACCATACGATCCTTGAGGTCCCTTCCAACCTGGTATTCTATGATGCAATAGGTAGGGTAGTGCTTTTGAACTGTGATTCTTATGAAGTAGTAATGGGAAAACTTGTCTTAGGTTTGGGTTTTTTTTTTTTGTACTGTTTTTTGATCTACTTGATCAGTTGCCAAAAAATAGTGACATTGATGGTGTTAAAATGATTAGCTGGAGACAAAAAAATTATGTAATCACTGAAATGCATCTAATTTCAAAATGGTGGAACTTACTTTTGTTGGGTGTTGTTAAGCACTTAGTAAGTGTATGCTGATGAAGAATCTCCTGTGAATTGATATTCTGTGTACATTTGACTGATCTCCTGTTTCCCCTTTGAAAGAATTTATTCTTTCATAATTGGATTGAAATAATAAATCATTCTGGAGTTACTCCATTAGTTTCAAGGTAGGAGTATCAACTAGCACCTTCTTAGATATAATAGGGCTGCTGTGAGAACCAGTATACAGAATGTAGTGTTAGGCCTGTATAGAGGTAGTTTGCAGGATTGCCCTGATTGATACCCTACTTGAAGAAAAAGCAATGAATTATGCAGGGTTGTACTTATGGGGAAGTATGGGACACATAAGTATAAAATACCAATGTATGTTTTCATCTGTCCTTAACACAGCTGTAATAGGGGCTACAAAGATGTGTGAGCTCATTAGAACATTAGTTCTGAAACTACTTAAGCTGAGCACAGATACATGCTTCTTCCCTATCAGATTTCTGCATAGATGTCTGCTATGGCTTGACAAGCCATAAAAGCACAAGCAGATTTTTTTTTTTTTTTTGTACTACTGCTTAACTCTGTCTATAAACTGTAAAGTCAGCCTGAACTAGAAACTCCCCTATGGTTCTTGTTTTCTCTCCTCCCCCCGCCAAACCTCATCTTGCAGGTTCAGTTCTGTCCTGTGGTAGAACTAAGCAGGATTCTGCTGATAGCTGCCTTTGAAAACTGCTTGGGTGCCTCTTTGGAAATAGTCAGAATTTTAATGCACAGGCTGGCTGTGTGCATTTATAGAATTACTGTTTCCAGTAATATCCCAGCTGATCTCATGAAAAGGGGAAAAAATAAACAGTAATGAAAAAGATGCTAGCTTTATTCCAGCTGAAAGGAACAGTACTTTTTTTTCCTCTCAAAACTTTTCTCCTCCCTCACTTCTGCCTGCCTCCCTGGGAGGTGAGAATGTGATTCGTGTGCTAGTCTTACCATGGAATTTTGTATGTGTGTGAGAGTTTTCTTTTTTCTCATAAGTAATCATTCTGCAAGTCTTAAGTTCTTTCTCTCGTAATTCCTATCTGAAAAGGACCTTGTGAAGTTAATCTAGTTTAATGCTTGAGATAGGTGCTGCTAATTACGTGACTTCACAAATATGCCACTTGCTCTCAAAAGTTTGTTGCTATGCAAGACTTGCAAACATTAGTTACCAAACTGGTTACAGACCATCTCTGCAAGCTGCTTTTCACAGATGCACCTCTGAGGTCAGCTGGAGCTCTGTGCCCAAGTTCTACACTTAAGCAGGTCACCTGTGAGGATGGGCTTGTGGGGTTGGATGTCAAGTCTAGCCTTGAACAGAGTGAGCTAAAGGACTTACTCTTTGCTCCCTCAAATGTAGTGGCTTCAAAGAATAATACTTAAACAGTGTTTAAGGTGACTGTTGAATCTAAATAATTTAGGAGAATGCCAGTAAATTTTCCCTTCTTTCATTTTAACCTTCAATTTTTTTTTCTTCATTAAAAAGGGGGTGTTTCTATTTAGCATTTCCTGTATGTGTGTTTGCATGTAGGTACTTTTTTTTTCCATTCGCTATTTCTACCCTTGAACTGTCACTGTGTCAGCCATTATCTTCTTTGTATAGCATCCTCAAGTAAATCCCACACAACTTGCACATAACTAAGTGTATGCAGTTGAGTATGTGCATGGGTCTGTGTATCAGTTAAAAGCAAACACTCTGCCCATGGGCCCTCGGGTTTTTTGGTTTTGTTTTTTTTTTTTTTCATTACTTTTAAAGGATTACCGGGTTATAGGAATTGGGGAGCAGGTGGCGAGAGGAGTGCTGTGAGGTTCCAACAGACTCCTTTGATTCAGCACTACAGGTGTGTGAGCTGCAGGAGCAGCAGCGCTCTGGCTGAGTTGTGTATCTGGTTATAAAACGCTGTTGGTGTTAAACCTGCAGGAGGGAAAACCTGGCATCCTGTGTATACCAGCTGTCTGCCCGTCCAGTATTGGATCGGGCAGAGCTTCCCCGTCCCACAGACCTCTGAGAGTGCAGAAAATGTTTCCACCCTGTGCTGGAATAGAGCAGATTTACTCTTCCCTCCCCCCACGCTTTTGTGGGCAGAAACAAAGTGTGAGCAACCGCAGCAGAATAGCCAATAGCGGGGCGAAGGGGGTTTTCCAGGGACGTGACAAACACCGGTCAGGCGCTGCCCGTGCTGGCAGGGCCGTGACGCCGTGCGGGGGACAGGTGCGGGCCGGCAGGGCCAGCTGCAACCCTTCCCTCTGTGTGCGGGAGCCGACACCTCATTAGCCCCCCTTTCCCCCGCCGATCACGTGCTTGTTACGCTGGAACTCCCAACACTATCTGCTTGCTACGTGATGATGGGGAACTTCTAATTAGGGAGGAAAACCCTACCCTTATACCCTCAAAGCCCGATGCAAACAGCAGAGGTTTCGGTGGCTAATCCTGCATTTGAGAACAAGGTTCGGGAACTTAAATCCCCCTGCCAAACAGGGAAGCCTTCCCCTGCTCAGGGCTGGCTGCGGCCCCGGACACCTCCTCCGCTGCAGGAGCCACGCTTCTGAAGCCGAGCTGGCCCCAGGAGGGCAGCTGTTACCTTTTCACCAGCGCTTCATGGGCGCAGTAGTCGTGTCGGTATCCCGTTTGGCGAGCTGGCTTAACCCTTTCCCCGCGGCAGAGGAGACCAGCCGCCCCCCAAGGGACAGACATCTGTGGCTGAGGAGGAGGCGGCGGCGGCTGTAGGCACGGCACAGGGGATCCGGGCAGGGAGGGGAGGCCCCGAAGGGGCACCGGCATCTCCGCATCTGCCAAGACCTCTCGTTCCCCGGAGGCGGTGCCGTTCCCGGCGCGGTTAAGGCGGCTCGGCAGCGCCGGGAGGAGGCTGGCGGCGGGCAGAGAGCGCGCGCGCAGAGCGGGGAGCGGGCGGGCCCGCGCCTCGTCGGCAGCCGGCACCTCTCCCGTCGGGCGGGCGGGGCCTGGGTCCCGGTGCGGGCCCCGGCCCCGGTGCCGCCGGTTTCTGTAGCCCTGCCCGTGACTGGCAGCAGCGGCGGGGTGAGTCACGGCTTGGAAATGGAGTGGGCGGGTGCGCGTGCAGGAGAATGAATGATGTCAGGGCGGAGTGCGGCTCGCGCGGCCAGCATGAGGCGGTAAACACGGCGGCGCAGAGCGAGCGGGGGCCCCCGCGCCCCCCGCTCCCCGCCCCGGATCACCGCTGCTGAGGGAGACCTCTGCGGGGAGTGTCGCCGCCGCTGACGCCCTTAACGCCAGTCCCCTTCGCCGGGAAGGAGCCAGCACAGGGCAGGGGAAGGTAGAGATTGTGGCAAACTTTCTAGCTGCTTCTGCGTGCTGCTACCTCAGCGGTGGGAGTGTCTGGCCGTAAGAAACTGCAAAGCCCAAACCTAAGAGCCCCGAGGCTCCAGAAATGATTTCCAGCTGCCTTTAGAGGAGGAACTGCCAGCAGTGCAAGCTTTTGTGTGTACAGCTGAGAAGATAAGTTGGGAACGGCACAGGTGGATTAAACGGCACGGCGTACCACAGGTGCGCACCTAGAGAACTTGCTTCACGGAAGACCTCTACGTGAGAACTGGGAAGAGCAGTCCTACGTTTGCGTTCTCTTCCGTTTCTGAAGTGTGTATGTTTTACCTGTAAAATAGTCTTAATTCTACTCTTGAAGAACCCCTTTTAACTAAGGAGGACACCTGCTGTTTTGATTTCCCTTGCGAATACGTAATGTATGGAACATACTTAGCTTACTTGTGATATTGTATGTTCGTGAGGTGGGCGGTGTGAGTGTGTGCATAGGTAGCACTTAGAGCAGTATAGCGTTCTTAGCTGAACAGGAGGGGACTTCAGAATGCCGTATTTTTAGCTTAGGAATTTAAAGGGTTACTGTGAGGGTCGTAATGGTGTTGTAAAGGTGCGTTGCTATACGGTTTGTTTGGGGTTTATTTTGTTGCTGTATGTCTGCTCTGTTGAAGCAACTCTTAAACTTCCCGAAGTGCAGCTGAACTAAACTTCTTGACTTAGTGACAGTGTTTTTCTATTAACGTTGCATGGTTTCTGGTATACTTTTAGCTCAAAATCCTTGCGAAAAGTAGTTAATGATTAATTTTCTGGCAAGATAATAACACTCCTGCAATATAGTGTAGACTATTTGTTGTTTAGTTTAATATATTTCTAATCTTTTTATTTGATTTTTTTTTTCTTAAGGCCTTAGAAAATCAAATACCTGTCTATCCTCTAACCACTTAATGGCTGTTAGTTTATACTCAATTATATAGGTGAA